AAAAAAAAAAAAAAAAAAAAAAAAAAAAGTCCAGAGCCCCAAAAATCAAATTCCAAGTTCAACAAAGCCAGTTAGCAATTTTGAATCTTGCTTGATCTGTCATTCAGGCACAAATGATATACTGATTCCATCTCTTTCAGGTTTTTAACAAGCTAATCCGGCGTTACAAATACCTGGAGAAAGGCTTTGAAGATGAAGTCAAAAAGGTATAGAATGGGGTTTGGAGAACAGGAAAAATCGTGTAACTTGGGCTTTTTGAAGCCTTCTGCTTTACAAAGAGTGCTATACTAGGAAAATTATCTACATGCTACAGAATAAGTGCCTTGTATCGGAGTGGTCAGTATCATAACAATGACTAGCTTCTATACCAGGATAGTGTCTTTTGAGTGGACTTTCTGCCTATCATAAATAATTACTGAATTGTTTTAACAAGCCTGTGCCATCTGCCTGGTGGTTTAGGGGAGGCACTGGCTAAATAAGCTGTTAGTACTTAAGACTCTGACTACTTTCTAAAAAAAATTACTCTCTTCTCTTGTAGCTGCTGCTGTTCTTAAAAGGTTTCTCTGAGTCTGAGCGGAACAAACTGGCCATGTTGACGGGTATTCTGCTAGCTAATGGGACACTTAATGCATCAATTCTCAACAGCCTTTATAATGAGAACCTGGTTAAAGAAGGTAGCCTGTTTCTTCACAATCTTCTTAGTGACTCAGTGTTGGAAGCAGAAACTAAGAGGCTTTTTAGTTTTGATGTCTTTTGCCACTAAAATGTTAGATGAGGACAAGCTGCCTGTGTGTGGTCAGGCAGGTGTCTTGAATTTGAATCTGATTTTGCAGGGAGGGGAGAGGTGGGTAATGCCACAAGTAAGCTTCCTTCCTCTCTGTTAATAGTAACTTTCCCTCTCTTTGTGCAGGCGTTTCTGCAGCTTTTGCAGTAAAACTGTTCAAATCATGGATAAATGAGAAGGACATTAATGCAGTGGCTTCTAGTCTCCGTAGAGTCAATATGGATAATAGACTGATGGTAAGGAAACGTTAGACGAATACTAGATGGTCACATAGATATGCAAGCAAGTAGATCAATAAACAGATTAAGTTGATAACCTTGTGCAGTACTTGAGTGTGCTAATAGAACATGTGAGCACTGCTTATTTAGAGTAGTTAGTATATGCAAATTGATTTTTTTTTTGTTTTGTTTTGTTTTTCAGGAACTCTTTCCAGCCAACAAACAAAGCGTTGAACATTTCATGAAGTACTTCACTGAAGCGGGACTAAAAGAACTCTCCGAATATGTTCGGAACCAGCAAACCATAGGAGCTCGTAAGGAGCTACAAAAAGAACTGCAGGAGCAGATGTCCCGTGGTGATCCATTTAAGGATGTATGTATATTTGTATTTAAACCATATATATTTCAAAGGTGAATTTTAGTCTTAACCCTAATTCTTCCAGTCCCTACCAAGAACTAATCTCTCTTTTTATAGCTGTAGAGCAGTGATCTCCAACCTTTTTTATGCTGAAGATCACTTTTTTTATAAGTAAAGTGCACCCCAGGATCTACTGCCTCTGGCCCCTGCCTCCTGGACGAGCTGCCTGGCCCATGGGCCATGCATAGTTCAGCTCAGTCCAGCCACATGTGTCCTGCCACTCCCAATTGTGGAGCCTCTGATGGACTGAGATCAACTGTCAAGAGGCTCCACAATTTACCAGTCAATCAAGAGACTGGTTGGTGACCACTGCTGTAGAGGACAAATTTTGCTGTCACTGGAAGAGGTGATTTCTTTAAGTGAAGACAAACCTTGTAAGGTTTTTGCTTTTTCAGCACTGAATTTTTAATTGATATCCATGGAAGCTAGGCTGTGGATGAAGAAACATTATTTTAAAAATGAAAAAGATTTACTGCTTGGGAGTGCTGTAACTAAACCTGAAATGAAAGCACTTTTTGCGTAAGAGTACATGGCGTCTTGTATCAGTTCAGTATGCGTCTCCATAAACTAGTGCAATTATCTAGTCTGCTCACACCCTTATGTACCTAAGCATCTTCAAAAATATCCATGTAAGTTTTTTTTGAGTTTGAGTTTTGACCTTGGGTATCTCCAGTTTTTCCTATGTGACCAAGCAGCTGAGAAATTTTTAATAATGGCCTTTGACACTGGATTTGAAATATTTTGATAAGATGCATGAGAGAGGAGATTTTGTTCACACTAACCTTTATTCTCTGACTTCAGATAATCTTGTATGTCAAGGAGGAGATGAAGAAAAATAACATCTCCGAACAGACTGTGATTGGCATAATCTGGTCTAGTGTAATGAGCACTGTGGAATGGAACAAAAAAGAGGAGCTGGTAGCAGAACAAGCCATCAAGCACTTGAAGGTATTTTGTGGTTACTCTATCATCTGTGAGAGTTACTTGGTAGTCCTCACTCCTAATTTTTAGACTAAGGCACCCCTCAGCTCCTCTGAATTGTGGTACCCCATTTAACAAGGACTAATTTTATTAAAGTCCATGCACATAGATGTATGGTTCCCTTCTCTCACATGCATGCTGACATGCACAGAGCCCTGCTCCTACATACATGTGCACAACCCCCACCCCTTGCCCAAGTAGAATATACATTGGACCAGATTTTGCCCACCCCCACCAAGGGATTCTATCCAGCCCCCAGTGGGTGGCTTGGCCCCAAACAGCCCATGCACTTCTGGCCCAGTGACCCTCATGTAGCCTGTAGGACTGGATCAATTGGATACCCCTTCTTCCATATAGCACTCAAGTGTTGGTGCAGTTCTGCCAACCTCTGGGCTTGCACCATTTTAATTTCTATCTGTGTAGATAGCTATACTTATGTGAAGTAGATAGGAAGCCAGGTGACGGACGGTCCATCTTGCAGTTCTGTACATTCACTAGATTCTTTTGTGTTTTAAATAATGTTTCTCAGGTGAATTACTGTAGCTTTGAAAAGTAACTGGCTGGTTTGTGGTAAAACATTAAACTTCTAGCTTGAAAAGAATATTGTAGTCTTCCTTTTATGTTACTAGGAAATGGTGGATTGTTTTGTTTTTTCCACAACAAACTTCTTGTATTCCTTACAGCAATACAGCCCTCTACTTGCTGCCTTTACTACCCAAGGTCAGTCTGAGCTGACTCTGTTACTGAAGATTCAGGAGTACTGTTATGACAACATTCACTTCATGAAAGCCTTCCAGAAAATAGTGGTGCTCTTCTATAAAGGTAACTAAAGATTAAATAATGTTATACATTGTATAACTGTTGCAAAGATCTTTACTGTAAGGCAGCAGTTCCCAGTCTGATATGGGTACCACCAGTGGTACAGACAACCTGTCAGTAGTACGCATTAACACTTATTTTATATGACAAATTTGCTGGTGGTGCTTATGGATGTATAGTTTTAAATTGGAGTGTGCAATTTGTCAGGGCTTGGAAACTGCTACTCTAAGGAATGTAGAAAGCTAATATGTAATATTAGAACAAGCCTGATAAGAGGAAAGTTAACTTTTCATAAAAAGATTTTTGGGAGAGTACTTGTAACTATAACTAGCTGTTTCAATTTCTCAGTTTCATTTAGTTTAGAATAGAGAAATTTGCTACCAAAATCTCATCTGTGGAAAGGTTAAAAAGACTTCAGTCAGGAGACGCTGTCTTGCTTACACAGTCTAATCTCTTGCTGGAGTTCAGTAGCAGCAGTACAGTTCTTACCCTTGCATAGATCCAAGACCATGGTGAAGACCTCTTTTGGCTTTTCATTGAGGGGTGTGACTTGATTGTGTTTTCTGAGCACTATCAAAGTTGTACACAGATAGATATAAAGTACTCCCCACTGGCTGGCCAGTCCCTCATCCTCTACCTAGGGATTCATAGCAATAAAGAAACCTTCATGGGAACTCCTGATTCTTACAAATATGACTCTTTTGGGTGGACAGAAATAGGATATTGAGTCAATTTATATTGTAGAAGCTTAACTCTATCACTCTGAAGCATTCAAACTCTACCATCTGCTGCTATGAGAAAAGGGATTGAAGCTGTAACTTTGCCATAAATGTAATCTTGAAATTTTTAAAAGCCAGTCTTTAATACTACTTTTAATACAATAATTCTCAATCAGGGTGGTGCACAATACTAGAACTGTTTTTTTGCTTTGAGCAAACACCTACACATGATTCATAGGAAACTCAGGTTTCAGAGAGAAATCCGGTGTCAAAAACATTCTGACCTGTTGCTATGCTCTGAGATTTTGTGTGTGTGTGTGTGTGTGTGTGTGTGTGTGTGTGTGTGT